GTATTAATGCTCCTGTTCTTTGCCCAGTGCCAATCTGTGACCGGGCTCACAACAGAGGAGCTGTGAATCACCGGGTCAAAGGTCATTAGCAGGCTCAGCAATCACCAGGGATCAGACACTGCCTACTGGGGCCGAGCCCTTCTCAAGACTGGGCGGCGTGCATGTGTGTGCACTTGTGTATGCATGTGTGCACACACCACCGGTGGCATGAGTTTGCTAACCACCTAATGGTCACATTCACCCTACAGAGATGAAAAAGTGGATTCTATGGTCTTCCTAATACATCATGGCAGGGTGCATACTCTTGTATGTAATTCATTCTAAAATGTGGCCTTTAAATCTGTTGTTTTCTAGTTTTTTATTTTTTGCTTTCAATTTATTTATTTATTTCCTGCACTGGGGGAATGGCTTCCAGCATGCCGTAGCATTAAGCAGAGCCCACCAGCTAGCTAGCCTCAAGTCGCTCAAACGTAAAATAAATCAGGGCACAAAGGACCCTGTTCATTCCTGCAAAGTAGCAACATTTTCCCCGGCCAACAATGAGGACTTGAACTTCCCTGGCAATAACAAATAGAAAGAAAGTCACCCGAGACACCAACATTAAAAGTGATTAATCATCTCTACTCTCTCTTTACTTTTGAACCAAGGGATTGTCCAGCAATAAATCTTCAAAGATGTACATAAGAATCACTTCCTAATGAAACCCGGCTTTGTTCATTTGTCACCTTTTAGACCCTTTCATTTAAATTACAAAACTTGTGACCTTGTGACTTGGAATATAGATCTCTGGTATTTTAGAACTGAAGAGGAATTAATCCATAAATCTTGATATTAGATTTATCTGTTCATTAAAAGAATTCTGCCACGGGATCTTCGGCCGCCGTCCAGAGCTGTTCATCCCCCTATTGACGTATTGAATAATGTGATTATTAGCAGTGGAAGTGATTGTTTTCAGAGATCATTTAATGTGGTTCCATTTTTAAAAGGTACGAGGACTTGTTTATATTCCTATTTAGAAAGTGTAAAAATAATGTAATAATAATAATTGCAACTCCTTACCCCTGTGTTTCCTGCCTTTTCCCAAGGAGCAGTTCCTCTTCGCAGTGCAGGAGAGACAGGGGAGGGGTGGGAGGGAGGGAGGCTCACACTCAGGCCAAAGGGCCACTGTGGCTTTAAGTGTGCTCCTTGTGTGGCCAGAGCAGCCATCGCCCTGATGCAAAGTGACAGGGACAGATGTGACATATCGGTTCCGACACACTTCCATACCACCAGTCACAGGCTCGGGGTGACTCACATCCCCCTGCTCTGGTCCTGTCCCCCCGCTGCAGGACAACACGACGATGCTCGAGTGAACCTCGCCATCGCCCTCACTGCTGCCAGGTATGGGGCTGCCATAGCCAATTACACTGAAGTGGTGCACCTACTGAAGAGGGCAGACCCCTCAGACGGGGAAGGAGAGGGTCTGCGCAGCGCACTGCAGGGACGGGATCACAGGTAAATCCAACAAAAGCCGCTTCCTTCCTTCCTGCCTCGCTTTATTCCCACTGTCTCTCTGCAGCCCTCACACACCAGGGGCCCTTCCAGCACTTCCTACTCGCTGCTAGTTTGCACATAGTCATTGCACATCTAATACAGGGGGCTTTTAATATTTTATAAGCGTTTTATGGTGTAGAGGGCTGCTTCAGATCTGGTAGGGAGGAACATAAGACGGAATTAGCGTACTCCAAATGGCCTTACTTACCTTTTTAAATGTCATGCATCGGGCTGGCTTTGGAGGAATAAAGCAGTTAAGGATAAAATATGGTATTCTGGAACATTTTATGAATAACCAAGATTTGAGGATCTCAACACATGACCACCCTCTGATGTTTTAAAAGATGGAAGGGTGCTCTTGGAGGAGATGTCTCACTCTAATAATGTGAGAAGGGGGCCTTACATAGAGAGAGCTGGCAGCAAAAGAATAATAGATGCTGTTTTGTCATCAGTCCTTTTCTCTTTGGCTTTTTTCTTCTTCCTTCCAAAAATATAACATTTCCGGCTCACGAACCTCGTCGTTTCAATTCCTCCTCTCCCTCTCTGTTGGTCGCGTCACACGTCGAGAGGGTAGTCCATCATTTGCTGTCCTCATAGTGTCTTTTGATACGCGTGCCATTATGTACAGTAGCCCGTCAACATCAAGCATCACATTAACAAACATTTCCCTTCCCCAATTTCAAAAGGCTCCCTCAGTCACTGCCACCGAGCTACTCTGTGACACAAAGAGGCAAGAGGGAAATTAGGTATGTCTGTTTCCTATTAATTACAATCCTGGAAAGTCTCCCATGGACACACTCGAGCCACTCTATTACGGAGAGAGGGGGGCGTTCGCTGATAAATTAATAATCCGGCTTGTCACCAGCCACAGATGAATAGCCCCTGGTGATTGATGCTGTTTTCTTTCATAGGGCAGGAATTTGATGTCAGAGCCAAATGTGTTATCAATGCCACGGGACCTTTTACAGACGCGCTGCGGAAAATGGATGATCAGAAGAGCCCCGACATCTGTCAGCTCAGTGCTGGGGTGCACATCCTCATCCCGGGCTTTTACAGGTAAGTAACGGAGCCTCCCCCCCCCCCCCCCTAGATCTCTGTCACTGTCCCCCTGTACCACCAGCTCTTTAGCGCTGCCATCTCCTCAGTTCATTAGCTAGCAGAGTCTCCTCAGCCTCCGGCCACAGCGAGCAGGCACGGTAGCAGAGATGAGCACCGCAGCTGAGCAGACGTAATCGTTCTGTTAACTTTACGGGAGGATTAACATCTTGTGTTTTCTCATTTTGTGGCCCAGCCTGATCAAAAACAGCATTTCCTCGCGTTGGTGTTGTTCCTCGATTCTGATTGGAGGCCTTTCTGCCTTGCCGGGATTTCTCGTTGATGCGTGTTATTTGCGTTTGCAAGAGCGGAGTGCCGCTCTTGCAAACGCCGCCGTCCGCCTCAGCCATGCCTGTGTTAAATTGAGTCAATGCCACGTGCATGTGCTTTAAGCAGGACAATATGTGCACCCTGGGTTGAGGCTTGGGGAGCCGCGGCTGGAATTGAAACCAGCTGAATTAATCTCCTGGAAACAGCCCTGACAGGAGGCTGATTATGGGGTGTCCCTTCAACCAGCAGGGCCCGCTGGTGCCCTCCCCTCCCCGGCAGACCAAAGGTTAATGCAGTCTTCTTGTTTGTTCCCCTCCCTACCCCTGCTCCCTCGCATGCACATAACACACACTGCCCGGGTCCTGACAGCATCCCGTCCCGCCATCATCTCACTGGGAAGGGATGTCCCAACGCAAACCAACACGCAGGTATCCTCGCCCGAACGGAGGAGAGCCTTCACCTTCACCCCGACGGAAGTTAACGACTTCTCAACACACCGATTTTTACACAAATTTACCCGATCAGGAGCTCTGTGGTGCCCAGCTTCACAGAGTCGGCGTGCGACGTACAGTACAGGCTTAGCGTGTGCAGAGAACAGCGCTTACGTATAACTAACGAAACAATGTCAATGGAACATTTGGGGGGGGGGGGGTGTGCACCTCCACTAGCGGCACTACAGCCTGGACGTCTGAGACCTAATTCATAACAGCCATTAATGATAATAAATATATGTCCAACAATCTCAACAGCCCCCCCCCACCCTATGCACCCACCCTCAATGATTTACAAATAGCTGATAGAGCAAGCAGCTGACAGAAATAAATGAGCTAATCTGATGGCTGTGTAGGACTTCCACCAGATATTAATTCATCAGGAGGCCACAGAGTGCAGACAGATACAAATTCCTGCTTTAATTATGTATGGGAGCTGTGCTGGAAACAGGAGACACCTCTACTACCAGGACTATATCTCAGAGCAACTTTATGAACCCCTTTGATTCCATCGTTATTTTGTTTTCCTTTAGACATAATACATGTCAGTGTTGTTTTCCCCAAACACTCAAGACAAAATAGATTTTTCCCCTTTATAGCAATGCTTTCACATGAGACATTTGATAATGAACAAGTGGAAAAATAACCTTTGCCACATGAAATTATATTGTTTTCGATTTGCAATTTTTATGAGGCCTTCCTGGAGCCTGTTTGATGTATTTTGTTCCCACTTGGAGCCTCAAATGACCCTTGCCGACTGGCAGACTTATCAAAACCCATGGAGGCTTTATTGAATGAGTGACCAGTGGGTATCTAAAGAGAATGCAGGGATATTGATTTTGGAGAAGTGGTCTAATTGTTTCTAGTAGACACGGGCTTGTCCCGATTATTTGATTGATTAGCTTGATACTGGCCTGCCTCCTCCTCATCCTCCTCCCCTGGCCAGTTAATAGCACTGTAATCCCAATACACTGCTGTATTTCTAATCCATCATCATTATCATGGCTGTACTCAGCACAAGATTAGTCCATGACGATATTTTTTTTGCATTCCACAATGTTAGCTCTGCCTTCTATAGTCTGAAGAAAAAAAGAAGAGAACAAGATGGCTGGATACAATCCAGTTGTTCTCCTGTGGAGTACAGGGGAGAGATTTGTACCCAGATTGATACACATGAGGGATGAAGTAATTCTGTGCACATGATACGACATGTTGAATGTTACTCAAGAATTCAGACTTTTTTTTTTAAATAGTTGTTTGGTGCTTCCACTCGTGTGAAGGATCTGAGCGCTTCTCCCTCCACCATAACAGATAGAGAATACGACAGAGAAAGGCTTGTTGGGAATGTGTCACAGTGCTGCACTTCAAGCCTCGGACTACATCTGGCTTCGGGGCAATGTGGCCGCGGACGGCGGGGTGACATGTGGCGTATGTCTGGGCGAGACCCTGGTAAAAAAAAAACTCCCGTAGTCACAAAATGAGCACAGAGAGCCCTGGAGCCTGAGAAACAAAAAGCGCAAAGGAAGGGGGACAGAGGAGAGCACAGGGGGATGTAAGTGTGAAGTGATGGAGCGAGACGCCGTGCCGCGCCGCGCGGGTCTCCGTCCTTGCCTGTGGTGGTGCCCGGGCCGCGGTCCTCACTCAATTGTCTAAGAATGTGAAAGGAAGGAAATGGGGGAGTGTGAAGAAGGGTCCTACCAGAGGGGTTTGTCACATTGTGTGGAGGTGACACCTCCAAAGACCTACTGGCCTCTATAGTGGACAGCCAGTGCCCCCCCCTCAGTCCTCCCCTTGAGGGAAATGGCTCTCCATAGCTTCTCACAGTCACACCAGAGTCTCTGCACGTCTGGTAGCGCATCTCCACCCTGCTGTAGTCACTTTCACTCTCCAATGACTACACTGGCACGTTTAAAGACTCTCTTTGTTCAGTTCCTGCAGGCTGCAGAAGTGGACCGTCTCTCTTTTTGTTTTTTTGGAGTAATCTTTCCACACCACACGACTGTTCCATTCCCAAACCATGAGTCAGCCGAAACAAAGGAGGCATCAGTCTCGCTCTCTCGGCCTGTTGAATTAAGCGATGAAAAACTTTCCAATCCAATCTTTTGGCCAAAGGAACATCTTGCCTTAGTTTGCTGTGATCATTTAACATGATATAGAACATGTGGTGTTTTATTGTCTTCATTCAGTAGCAACTTCACACCACTGACTTGTAAGCATTTGGGACAAGTGTTAGTTGAACCTTTTCACCCATCAAAATAATCAATTGGATGTTTGAATCCATTGTGGCAGGTCCTCTAAGGTTAATACAGCTCAAGGGACATTGTTTGTCATGTATAACTTTCATTTTGAACAACTATAAATGGGTTTCGTCTTCATCTGCATGCTCTTTATTGCCCCTATGAGACCTTGTGCTCCACAGCCACTCTGCTGTCATAAATGTTTAAAAAATGCCCTTTGGTAACGAGTGTGTCATTGTTTTATTCGGAAATATCAACTAGCCCATTATGGTGGCAGGTCTTTTTTTCAATCGATACACAATAGAGTATAAATATTTAATTCTTTATATGTCGCTGTGATATTAAAATAAAGGGTTATTGAGAGGCAGCATCTGGAGCTCGCTTACTCTCCTGATGTAGCAGGGAAATAGACAACTGGCGTCGGGAACCCTTTTCCTGAAGTATACAGTATGTGTCTTCGTACTGTAGGCGTCGTGCTGGTGGACTCGCCTTTTTCTGCCCTCTTTGTTAAGACAGCAGAAGTGACGTCTCCGGGGTACTGGAGGGTTTTAGTCCTTTAGTCCTAAAGCCTAATTCCAAGGACACTGTCAATCTGCAGGAACAACGATGTTGACATTAGAAGTAGTGACCATCGAGTCTCGGTCCCACTATGTGTGTTGAGAAACGATTTATTTATTTTTAAAATCTGGTAAATCATTATATATAATATAAGTAATGTATATATTTATCCAAGTGATTGTTTGGAGTACTTAGCTCGTTATTGCCTTAAGAAACACACCCAGTATTGTCTTTGAAAGGGGCTTTTTCCTTGGATATCCCTTCAATGGGAAACATAACATTGTGGGATTAAAAAATGCACAGTGCCCATGTTTCAGGTAATGAGGGAGAATGTCACATGGTGCAACACTGTAATTCATTAATGTGCTTTTAATCAGTACATTGAAGGTTGATGGCACAGTGACAGCTAAATATAGGAACTGTTGACAATAAGAGAAATATGAAATACTGACAATCTTAATCTTAAATACACAGTAAACTAAAAAGAAAATCAAAGAAAGCTTTTATTTTTTTACATTCTACAGTAGATTTTGTCAGACCGGCCTCTGAAGACTTTGAAGAAGAGACCAGAGTTGGCCAGGTGTTTATCCTGTAACAGTACGTGCACAGTTATAACAACATTCAAAAAGAATAAATGTTCATGGAGGTGTTCGGAGCAACATGGGAAAATAGGGTTGAGGTTAAAAAAAATATAAAAGTTGGCCTTAAAGAAGTAACATGCTGCTGTCCAGCTGTCTCTGTCCTCCTGACAATACACATACATATCACCAGGACAGTCCATGTTAAACTTCAAATGAACTGTACAACGACCTGCAAGTGACAAGCACAGAGATTTACTGCCCCTCGCGACTTTGGTGTGAATGAGTTTTAACCCTTTGTTAGTGGGAAAGAGGGGAAGAAAGCATAATCTATGATCCCAATGTTCCTGGAATGTTTAAAAAGGTCAATATGCTGATATTTTTGACAGCGCTTGACCTTTTGTGAAAAAAGTAACAAAACCATTGGAATTGAAATAACTTCTTTGTTTAGTTCTGGCACATAATGTATCACAGTCAAAGCATGCTGTCTCCCCGCAGCATCTGCCCATGAGTGACTTGACTGTTAATCCGTCGTATTGATCTAATATCAAAAGGTGCTATTCAAATGCAGCATAACTCCCCAGGAGCCGCGATCTGTCAGTAGGCTCTGTTTGGAGTCTGGCTGAATAACTAATGCCCGTGTTTTCTCTCGATGTGTCCAGTTGGCCCAACATCTGGCCTCTGCCCACCGAGGCAGAGCCCTACGAAGTGGTCAGGAGAGCTCGTGACAATAACCTTAGAAAAGTGACTTCAATTAGCAGCAGCTTTCTGCAGCAGATGTCAGAAAGTAAATCGCATTTGGTTTTTTTTAAAGCGACAAAGGGATGAGTGAGTCCTCAGACGGTACTCCTCTCTGACGTATCTGATTTTCATCTTGATAGGAAGCCAGTGTAAATAATCAAGATCAGTAGTCCAAAGCTTTGCTAATGCAGGAACCTCTGGATCACTTTAGAGAAATCTCCAACTGTCTTACAGAGGCAGGTGGCCTGTTGCTGCAGCAGCTCAGATCGAAACGCCCTTTAAAAGAACAAAGTGTCACATTGACTCTGGGATGAGATTGTGTATCGATAATATGAGTGATCGATCCCTCTGACTAACCGTAGCCGCCATGAGGTCCTTTAGCTCTGTTACCAGTGCAGGAACTTAGGAACCTGTACTCTGTTGTTGTTTCCTACGGTCCCTGGACATTTATGCAGCGACATCCTACACCTCAATCCATTTAATGATGATCGTGACAGTTAAAACTAAATGTGTGCTTAATGTATTTTTATATATATATATATACTGAGGTTTTATATTCAAAAAAAGGTAATCAACAGTTCAAACACAATTTGTTTGTCTTCTGTTTTGCTCACCGTGCTTAATAAAGACCAGTGATTTAGGGAACAAACCTGTTTCCAATCCCCACTGTTTTTTATGTCAAATTAACCAGCTGACACCAGCTTGTGCATTACTGTCTATTTAGAATGGATCTTTTTGACAGCCCCATTCACGCTGGCAATAATCCCAGTGCAACCAGCTACTTCAATTCCATCGCCGTTATTCCCGCACATGCATTAGATTGACCTCACATTAACCCAGATACATTTGATCTTTAAGAGCCATAAATTGGCTTTTGTCATTACCATAGGTTAATTACTGAGATTCGCTCTGTACCGTTGCTACACTGAGATTGCAATAATAAGCAACACACAAAAGCCATTCACACTGCCTGCATGAGCACTAAATAGGCATTGTTTTGATATTTCTATTCCTGTCGGGAGTTTTGTTTGTTTTGGTCTATTATTAGCCCTGTGCGGAGCGGTACTTTTGATACAATTTGATTCTACTGAGCTTAGTTGAAACCTTGCCCTTCCTGTCATTCTCCCCTTAATAAGTCTTCTGACGTGCAGCCCAGACGTGGATCGGACTACTGTCCTCGCGTTCCTCACAGCGTCTTTACGAGAAGGGAAACTGCTGGTGGTTTCAGGACTTTCTAGAACACAATGAAAATTCCATTTGTGGGATCAGTTTCACACACATTTTTGGTTTCTATTTATTTAAAATCTTGAGGATGTTTAAAATGAAAACCTAAATTGATGAGCACTAGTGGGTGACCGAGTGAGCTTAGCTTAACAGCTTTTTGTTCATTGCTTACATTCATTTTGTTCATAATGCTAATTTGGGGGCGTGGCTTTGGGTGGCGAGCCTGAAGGGGGGGGCAGTATTTCACCACGAGCAGTACTTTAACCCTTACACAGTCAACTCTGCTATCACACAACCACCTTGAGTTGTTGAGTCAAAATGTCAGGTTGGAAATATGGGAATTTTTGATATAAAGGCAGCGAAATATCAAACGGTGTCTCACGGTCGTTCACAGGTGTTCCTGTCCTCTTACATAAAAAGGTTTCATACATTTCCTTAAAGGAATCAAAGGTTTGAATAACCATGGATGTAGATATTAATGGTAAAGATCAATGTGCGTTTGTGTGTGCGCGTGTGTGTGCGTGAACGAACATACTCGTATGTGGTTATTACCAGTGGGCGTTGTTTCTCTGATGTGCCTTCATGAGAAGTGGAGAGGTTTTAGATTTCTTTCCTTTCATAGAAGCCCTGTGCCGTTGATCCTCTTTTAGCTCAGTAACCATGACACTCAGACTCTCCCAGTTTGATATGCAGGATCAGTAACAGCACTCCAGATGGCAACGAGAACAGAACCTCTATGATGTTTTCTTCTGTGGTTGTACCGACTTATTTACTCTCCACTCATTGCCGTGATTACGACCTTACCTGAAAAAGTTATGGAAACAATTTAGCGCCTACTGGGAAACGCACTGAGTAGTATAGATAGATTAGAAAAAAATATGGAATATTAATTGATGAAGTTAACCCCGCGACACAAGAGGCAGGAAACTACAAAATAAAACAGGAAATGACCCCACACCGTGACAGAAAGACTGGAATGGTAACATTTAAACAATCACTGTTTAATACTGTACATACAAGGACAACATTAAGATTCACATGATGCCCTTTTAGACTGATTAACCCTTCAAAGTTGTGTGGGTCGAAAATAATGGCACTAGTGGGTTATTTTCCAGATGTCTTTCTTTTTTAACCACAGCGCCAGTGTTCAGAGAGATGAAAACACACTGCATGAAAATGAAAAGAGGGATTCATTTTTAAAGGTCAAAGTAGGACACATTTTTGTTGTAATTGTTTGTTAAGAATTTAAGCATTCTCCCTTCACCTGCACACACATATCTCCCTTTCATAGCGCCTCTCTTCACTGCGCACACACACACACACACCCTCTCTCTCCTGTCCTCCCGTGACACCGGCAGTCTTCTCCAGCTCGGTGACAATGATGAATGCAGAACATGAAACACATTAATGCAGCGGATTCTGGTCAATGTCAGGCCTTTCTTCACCGTGTCAAGTTAAACAAACAAGATCAAGCAAAACGCGTATGGTGATTGACCCTCCAGAGATAAGGCCCTTGCTGTTGAAGCAGGAGGTCATGGGAATCTCAATACATCCTCAAACCCGAGATGGACTCCAAAATATCCTCCACACACTGTCCAAATGGTCCCAACTTTATATAGAGCAATGCGCTTCTTAATCTCCTTTTGAGAGTTAAATTATTATGAGAATGGACTTCCTGTATAGTGCTCCAGCAGCCATAGGCTGTCATTGTAATGAGCGGATCGTACTTGTCTGAAGCCATAGGGGGAGAAGTGTCGAGACTTCTGACAATTTGATGACAGATGGTGAAATCTGAGTAATTAGGGGAGTTTTTGATTTTGCAATTTTGGCTTTCAAATGTAAGTTCCATCAGTGCAACACAGTATCGTGCTGATGTTGTATAATTGGAAGTGGGGGAGGTATAGCGAGTTGTGTCAGTGATAAATTAAAGGCCAACCCATCATAGAATATCCTTTTATATTACCTTTTATAATAATAAAATCATTTTGGACTTCTGGACCAATTGGTTAAAAAAGATGGTTTTATTCACTTGCCCAGGTTTAGTATTAATCACTTTTAAGTGCTTAGCTACGACCACAATACAAAGGATTAATTGTTAAATGTAGAAAATGATTTATCTTTTCTTTAAACAGCCCGAACAATTTGGGATTCACTATCATAGTAGTGTGGTGGTGATGTGTACAGTGAAAATGTGTCAAAACCCAAACTGTGTGGCCAGAAACCACGAGAGGCACATGAGAAAATGTCTTGCGATTTGGGTGAACTTGCCCTTTAATGCAACTGGACTGCAAGGCACAGTTATACTGTACGGCGTGAACAACACAGCATCCTTCCCAAAAGGATCCTAAATACTAATAAATATTTATTTGATTCTTTCCGTCAGTGCCAAATGAAACACAATATTAAATGTGTTTAAATACACTACAGTAGGTGCATGTGATTGGTTCCAAGCAATATTGTCTTGCATCTTATTAAGCCGAATGGCGAGTTGCATCCCAGGCCGGCTTTTAATTTCTGTATCTGTCCCTGCAGTTGGTGTTTTTATTACTATTAATTTATTACTCGTGTTTTGTCCGCTTGGCCACTTGCATTTATAGAGTAATAAGGGAATGTATTTAATACACCCCCGCTTTCAGTTGCTGTGTGAATTGTGAACATGAATCAAGGGGGTTGATTAAACCATACTGTCCCAGGCTTTTAAGTGTGCTTAATTTCACACCATCTATAAATAAAGCAATTATTTTCTTTTGCACACTGTCAAAGTGAGGGCTTCATATGTTTGGCTTTGCTGGGACAATTGTATATGAAGGCTGTTTCAAAGACTTATTGTGCAT